AAATAGATAGATAGATAGATAGATAGATAGATAGATAGATAGATAGATAGATGATGGATGGATGGATGGATGAATGCATAAATGCATAAATACATAAATAAATAAATATTTTTATTCAGAAATGATTAATTAAATTAGTAGACATTTACATAGTAAATGAATGGACAAAAAAACAAACAAATAAATAAATATACTGATAGATATATACTGTATACCCCCCCACACGCACACCAATGTATTTGTCTTACAGCAAATTAAGTGTATAAAACTTAACTTGTATATAAATTATTCCAAACTTAAAATATTAACACAGTTAATTATAGTATCTCTTATTTCGCTGTAAGACAAATACATCTGTGCTTGATGTGTGTGTGTTGTCCCTCTTTTTTTTTTTCATTTTGGGAGAAACAGTGTGTCTGTGATGACAATGACTACTGAACCACAACAACTCCCAAAATGTCCAATAAACACAACTGCTGTTATGTAATGGGCAAACACACGATGGCTTCATTAAAGAGCTGCTGTTGCCCTCCTGAGCCCCTGTCTGCTGTCTCGTCCTCCAAACGAACGGCACTAATACTCACGGCAATGTTCCCCCTCATCGTCCCCTTGTGGACAGTCAGGGTTGAAGTCACACAGCTGGCTCACATTGATCTCCTGGCCCCCTCTGCAGTGATAGCGGCCCCGGAGAGTGACGTTTTGAGAGGTTCCTGGGCGGAGAAAGACAAGAGGGAATCAGAGACACTAATTACAGAGACAGTTCCCCTGAAGGAGCCAAGCAGATAAAGCAGAATTTCAATCCCAGTAACTCTCAGATTCCAGGGTCACCCTTGCTTAAGATGTAACATTTGCGCAAGCAGGCCTGATCATTAACCATTAGCCCACCTTTACCTCATTCTTCTCATACATCTTATTTTACAACCACACATTAGGTGTAACAGGTTACTCCGAAGAGGTTTACTTTATGTCTTTCCGATAGACTTTCTGCCAAGAAAGTAAATCAGAGGGTTACATTAAAAGCTTCTGTGCAAACAAACACAAAGACATCAAGTAAATTCAGCACTTTGTGAAACTAAATGAGGCAGAAAGAAGACATAAAAGAGGCAAAGCCTCTCGGTAGTCACTTGTTTTTTATGGCTTCAATGACAGGAAAGGATACCGACAAAGGCTATCAACAAATGAAAAAAACAAAGAGCCCTTTCCTGTCCAATAAAGATACAACCGACAATCCAAAAATTGTGTTAATGTAATGATAACTCAAGCACAGCTCTAAAGAGATGACTAGGATAACATTTTAACATAAACATATACAACTTCTGCCCTTTTGTGGGACGAGATACGGATCATTTTACTATGGCGCAATATATAGTTTTTCTTTTTGCATATGGAGCGCTAGCTTAACACGCTTTAGAATATGTAGGACGGAACAATGGCACAGATAAGTAGCGTGGCGATTGGATTTATGTGAGTTGAGTCTGATAGCATCACAGCAAACACAACGAGATGTAACCGCGGTTTGCATATCTATGCAAATGGAAGACAGTCAAAGAGCTGTACAAATGGACCGGCTCACCAGGGGTTCATCATACTGCTGACAATGATAAAGAGAGTGATTGTACAGAAAGTAAAATGAGGGGAAAAACAGGCCCACTGATGTGTTTCACTTAGTTCCTTAAAAAAAAAAAGGGAGATGTGATTTTATCACTGGCGGCTACAGAGGCATAACACCCTTGATCTGGGTGATGACAGATTTTGTTGGGAAGACACATGACAAGAGATGTTCATCTGAGATAATACTGCTTCACCCACTACAAATCAAGACAAGCAGATAACTAAATGTCCAACATTGGGCAAGGATTTCCAAAATGTTTGCAGTCGATTCCAAAAAGGAATACATTTGATATTGTTGAGAGGAGTCAATTTTAAACGGATAGTTCACCTAAAAATGAAAATTAGCCAACTATTTACTCACCCTCAAGCCATCCTAGGCGTCAGTGTTAATTTTGACAGCAAATTTTGATTTAGTTTGAGTCATAGTCTTTTGACTAAAATGCCATTTACTTTTAGTCATGTTTTAGTCATCTGAATTGTTTTTAGTTTTAGTCTAGTTTTAGTCGACTAAATCTACAGTTAATTTAGTCGGCTAAAATCCAATGGGTTCAGTTGCAGTGCATTTATTAAGCTTTTCTCAAAAATTTCCAAAATCATTATATACTGCTCTTCTCTTACTCCCACATATTGACATTTTCAAACGTTTTATGCGACGTGCAGCAAGTGTATGTTAGGTTATGTCCCGTCGGTTCATATGTACGCATCTAACCTCCTAACTATGCAGCAGATTCGTTCTGAATGAATCTCTTCCCAAATCGTTCCTCCCTAAGATTTTCATCTCGTTTTTATTAATTGACGAAAATGTCAATAGATTTCCGTCATAGTTTTTGTCATTCAAAATGAGTTTTAGTTTGTTATCGTCTCGTTGTCGTCGGTGAAAATACAGTTAATTTAGTCGGCTAAAATCCAATGGGTTCAGTTGCAGTGCATTTATTAAGCTTTTCTCAAAAATTTCCAAAATCATTATATAGGTTTGATATTAAGGTTTTATCATGATAGGCACAGATTTAACTGCGGTGACACACAACATGCCTTTATGTTAATTAAATAAAACCACTTCTCATAAAGAACAAGAACATGGTCTTCTTTTTAATGAAATACCAATGGTTATATCGGCTAATTATGCATTCTTTATAGCAACTTGTTTACCATATTCTTCATTCTTTCAAGCAGACATATTTATTTCTATAAATAAATTTAGATTAATCTTTGGGGCTACTAAAGTTTTCAGTCAAGAGCAGTGCGAGATTTTCTGTCTTTCTTTTGTTGCTTGATTAACATCAATGACTCGGACAATAGCAACTAAATTAGGCTGCTATCCCTTTAAAACCGAATGCACAGCTGCAATGGATGCAATGTACTGATACACGTTCTCCCTGCTGTTTACGTTCACTTAAGACGTAATCAACTGTGTTTACGTCAATACTCCTCAAAACATAATTTTGTGTGTAATTCTCTGTTCAAGTGACGCACGCGAAAGAGTACTCGCTCTCTGTGTGTGTATGCTTCAGTGTCTGCGCTCAGAAAACCGGACCGAATTGAGTTCTCTCTTGCGTCGTCAGATTTATCCTTATGTCTGCTCTTCTCTTACTCCCACATATTGACATTTTTGAACGTTTTAGGAGACGTGCAGCAAGTGTATGTTATCTTATGTCCCGCCGGTTCATATGTACGCATAACCTCCGAACCA